GATGGTCCTGGTGTGCTACTGTGAGGGGCTGTCACCTGGCGTGTTACTGTGAGGGACAGTCACCTGGTGTGTTACTGTGAGGGACTGTCACCTGGCGTGTTGCTGTGAGGGACGGTCACCTGATGTGTTACTGTGAGGGACAGTCACCTGATGTGTTACTGTGAGGGATGGTCACTTGGTGTGTTACTGTGAGGGACAGTCACCTGGTGTGTTACTGTGAGGGACAGTCACCTGGTGTGTTACTGTGAGGGATGGTCCTGGTGTGCTACTGTGAGGGACTGTCACCTGGCGTGTTGCTGTGAGGGACGGTCACCTGATGTGTTACTGTGAGGGACGGTCACTTGGTGTGTTACTGTGAGGGACAGTCACCTGGTGTGTTACTGTGAGGGACGGTCCTGGTGTGTTACTTTGAGGGACAGTCACTTGGTGTGTTACTGTGAGGGACGGTCCTGGTGTGTTACTGTGAGGGACGGTCACCTGGTGTGTTACTGTGAGGGATGGTCACCTGGTGTGTTACTGTGAGGGACGGTCACCTGGTGTGTTACTGTGAGGGATGGTCACCTGGTGTGTTTCTGTGAGGGACGGTCCTGGTGTGTTACTGTGAGGGATGGTCACCTGGTGTGTTACTGTGAGGGACAGTCACTTGGTGTGTTACTGTGAAGGACGGTCACCTGGTGTGTTACTTTGAGGGATGGTCACCTGGTGTGTTACTGTGAGGGACGGTCACCTGGTGTGTTACTGTGAGGGATGGTCACCTGGTGTGTTTCTGTGAGGGACGGTCCTGGTGTGTTACTGTGAGGGATGGTCAGCTGGTGTGTTACTGTGAGGGACAGTCACCTGGTGTGTTACTGTGAGGGACAGTCACTTGGTGTGTTACTGTGAGGGACGGTCACCTGGTGTGTTACTGTGAGGGACTGTCACCTGGTGTGTTACTGTGAGGGACAGTCACTTGGTGTGTTACTGTGATGGACAGTCACCTGGTGTGTTACTGTGAGGGACAGTCACTTGGTGTGTTACTGTGAGGGACGGTCACCTGGTGTGTTACTGTGAGGGACGGTCACCTGGTGTGTTACTGTGAGGGACAGTCACTTGGTGTGTTACTGTGAGGGACGGTCACTTGGTGTGTTACTGTGAGGGACGGTCACCTGGTGTGTTACTGTGAGGGACAGTCACCTAGTGTGTTACTGTGAGGGACGGTCACTTGGTGTGTTACTGTGAGGGACAGTCACCTGGTGTGCTACTGTGAGGGACGGTCACCTAGTGTGTTACTGTGAGGGACAGTCACTTGGTGTGTTACTGTGAGGGACAGTCACCTGGTGTGTTACTGTGAGGGACAGTCACTTGGTGTGTTACTGTGAGGGACAGTCACCTGGTGTGTTACTGTGAGGGACAGTCACCTGGTGTGCTACTGTGAGGGACGGTCACCTAGTGTGTTACTGTGAGGGACAGTCACTTGGTGTTTTACTGTGAGGGACGGTCACCTGGTGTGTTACTGTGAGGGACAGTCACCTAGTGTGTTACTGTGAGGGACAGTCACCTTGTGTGTTACTGTGAGGGACGGTCATGGTGTGTTACTGTGAGGGACGGTCACCTGGTGTGTTACTGTGAGGGATGGTCACCTGGTGTGTTTCTGTGAGGGACCGTCCTGGTGTGTTACTGTGAGGGACCGTCATGGTGTGTTACTGTGAGGGACAGTCACTTGGTGTGTTACTGTGAGGGACGGTCACCTGGTGTGTTACTGTGAGGGACGGTCACTGTGAGGGACGGTCACCTGGTGTGTTACTGTGAGGGACGGTCCTGGTGTGTTACTGTGAGGGACCGTCCTGGTGTGTTACTGTGAGGGACGGTCACCTGGTGTGTTACTGTGAGGGACGGTCCTGGTGTGTTACTGTGAGGGACGGTCACCTGGTGTGTTACTGTGAGGGACGGTCACCTGATGTGTTACTGTGAGGGACGGTCACCTGGTGTGTTACTGTGAGGGACGGTCACCTGATGTGTTACTGTGAGGGACGGTCACCTGGTGTGTTACTGTGAGGGACGGTCACCTGGTGTGTTACTGTGAGGGACGGTCACCTGATGTGTTACTGTGAGGGACGGTCACCTGGTGTGTTACTGTGAGGGACGGTCACCTGATGTGTTACTGTGAGGGACGGTCACCTGGTGTGTTACTGTGAGGGACGGTCTCCTGGTGTGTTACTGTGAGGGACGGTCACCTGGTGTGTTACTGTGAGGGACAGTCACTTGGTGTGTTACTGTGAGGGACGGTCCTGGTGTGTTACTGTGAGGGACGGTCACCTGGTGTGTTACTGTGAGGGACGGTCACCTGATGTGTTACTGTGAGGGACGTTCACCGGTTGTGTGTTATTGTGAGGGACGGTCACCTGGTGTGTTACTGTGAGGGACGGTCACCTGGTGTGTTACTGTGAGGGACGGTCCTGGTGTGTTACTGTGAGGGACGGTCACTTGGTGTGTTACTGTGAGGGACAGTCACTTGGTGTGTTACTGTGAAGGACGGTCACCTGGTGTGTTACTGTGAGGGACGGTCCTGGTGTGTTACTGTGAGGGACGGTCACCTGGTGTGTTACTGTGAGGGACGGTCACTTGGTGTGTTACTGTGAGGGACCGTCCTGGTGTGTTACTATGAGAGACAGTCACCTAGTGTGTTACTGTGAGGGATGGTCCTGGTGTGTTACTGTGAGGGACTGTCACCTGGCGTGTTACTGTGAGGGACGGTCACCTGATGTGTTACTGTGAGGGACGGTCACTTGGTGTGTTACTGTGAGGGACAGTCACCTGGTGTGTTACTGTGAGGGACGGTCCTGGTGTGTTACTTTGAGGGACAGTCACTTGGTGTGTTACTGTGAGGGACGGTCACCTGGTGTGTTACTGTGAGGGACAGTCACCTGGTGTGTTACTGTGAGGGACGGTTACCCAGTGTGTTACTGTGAGGGACAGTCACCTGGTGTGTTACTGTGAGGGACGGTCCTGGTGTGTTACTGTGAGGTATGGTCACCTGGTGTGTTACTGTGAGGGACCGTCACCTGGTGTGGTACTATGAGGGACAGTCACCTGGTGTGTTACTGTGAGGGACAGTCACCTGGTGTGTTACTGTGAGGGACCGTCCTAGTGTGTTACTGTGAAGGACGGTCCTGGTGTGTTACTGTGAGGGACAGTCACCTGGTGTGTTTCTGTGAGGACGGTCCTGGTGTGTTACTGTGAGGACGGTCCTGGTGTGTTACTGTGAGGCACAGTCACCTGGTGTGCTACTGTGAGGGACAGTCCTGGTGTGTTACTGTGAGGGACCGTCTTGGTGTGTTACTGTGAGGGACGGTCCTGGTGTGTTACTATGAGGGACAGTCACCTGGTGTGTTACTGTGAGGGACGGTCCTGGTGTGGTACTCTGAAGAACAGTCACCTGGTGTGTTACTGTGTGGGATAATCTTCTGGTGTGTTACTGTGAATGAAAGTCTCCTGGTGTGTTACTCTGAAGAACAGTCACCTATTGTGTTACTCTGAAGAACAGTTTCCTGGTGTGTTACTCTGAAGAACAGTCACCTATTGTGTTACTCTGAAGAACAGTTTCCTGGTGTGTTACTCTGAAGAACAGTCACCTATTGTGTTACTCTGAAGAACAGTTTCCTGGTGTGTTACTCTGAAGAACAGTCACCTAGTGTGTTACTCTGAAGAACAGTTACCTGGTGTGTTACTCTGAAGAACAGTTACCTGGTGTGTTACTCTGAAGAACAGTCACCTATTGTGTTACTCTGAAGAACAGTTACCTGGTGTGTTACTCTGAAGAACAGTCACCTAGTGTGTTACTCTGAAGAACAGTTACCTGGTGTGTTACTCTGAAGAACAGTCACCTAGTGTGTTACTCTGAAGAACAGTTACCTGGTGTGTTACTCTGAAGAACAGTCACCTAGTGTGTTACTCTGAAGAACAGTTACCTGGTGTGTTACTCTGAAGAACAGTCACCTAGTGTGTTACTCTGAAGAACAGTTACCTGGTGTGTTACTCTGAAGAACAGTCACCTAGTGTGTTACTCTGAAGAACAGTTACCTGGTGTGTTACTCTGAAGAACAGTTACCTGGTGTGTTACTCTGAAGAACAGTTACCTGGTGTGTTACTCTGAAGAACAGTCACCTAGTGTGTTACTCTGAAGAACAGTCACCTGGCGTGTATTTGGAAATTTTATAAGGAAAAGTACACCAGGTCTATGACGTGCATCATTCTTTAATTTTTGAAAGATCTCCCTTTCACCATGGTTATAACAGAGCAACAACAAATGAAGTTTTTTTTTTCAATTTGCACAATGCATCCCATCCTCGGGATATGCTTGTCCTTGCTACTGCCGATCTCGAAGACGCAATTATAAATTATATTGTTGTACTGTGTATTTCAAATCTATATTTTTTCATGATATTAATCTTCATATTTTAGGAATTTGTATATTGTTAGGCCTAGGTTAGTTTAATTATTTAGATACTGTAGGATTTTTTTTAGATTTCCAGCACCCGAGAAGGTGTCACCTAGGGTGCAGTTGGAATATGGGAAGAGAGCAACGCAAAGTTCAGGAAAAGTTTGAATGAAGTCAGTTGTGAGTCATATGTAAAGTATTTTCCTTCAGAATCACGTGGTTTGGCGGCTGGATTGACAAGTATTTGGCCACTGTTGGTGAGGACGGCCCAAATTATTATGAACCTAACACCAGGGAAGTCGCGGTGATCAAATTATATTAGTGAGGCTTTCTCACTGTGAGCAACGTCTTCTAGGTTGTTACAGTCAAGCTTATGGCAGGCTGAAAGCCAGTACATTGAAATCTACATGAACAGCCCATCCACCTGTTTTGATAGTACTTATAAGAAGGATGAGGACCAAATTACATATACCGATGTACAACGCAATTAGAAAGTAGAAATCGGTACTATTGAATTTGGACAAACTAGAAAACGTTTTTTACTTATGTTGCAAAGACAAACTAACCTAACCTAACCGAACCATCCTAGGCCTAAACCTGCAAACAGTAACTGTCCCTATTTTCTGCTTGTTACAACTTGTTATACAGTTGTGACATCTTTGTATAACGTGACATGTTAGAACGATACTACAACTTGCTATATTGGTAGTTACAACTGGATAAGTGTTAAACAAACAAAAAATTGCAGCAACATCGTAGTTTCGTCGTGTATTTGGCGTTAATATATGCTATATGAGGCCTAATATAGTACATATGTGTGCTATAATAGGCCTAGGAATCTAAGTTTTTTCAGTTTATTTTTTTTAGGGCGGGGGGGACTCTATAAAGTGAATAGAACAAAATTATACTATCTAATTACTTAATATGTCAATGTTTGAACTATGGTGCACATAGTTACAAAAAGTACCATCTAAACATTAGGATGGGTTGATATGAATGATTGTTTGGCCCACTGACCGAGAATTTCCATGATCGTCAGGAAGAAAAGTTGCTTTAAAGGTTAAAGATTGATGAATAATGTAACCAGGAACTCTGAGACCAGGACAATGAGAGAGGTGGCGAGGCCCAGGACGAGGAGCAGGAAGGGTCCTTGCATGTGGCGGAGGGTGAGTGCCTGGTTACTGTCGGTGTTCTTCTCACTCAGGGACGCTGTCTCCTGCAACTCCATCAGTCTCCTGCGACTCTCCTGCTTCGCCTTCTCCAGTACATCCTTAACCCACTTCTCGTATAATCCCGCCTGAAAACATATGGGTGTTATTCATACCTATTATATTTGGTGATTTATTGAAAACTTTAAATACATTATTGTTTATGATGCGTCTTTCTGTATTATGTTTTGTTCTAACGTCTTGTTCCAAGATACATGAAGGTCTGGTTTTGTAAACTCCGAGGCATAGAAAACGTTAGGTTAGGTTGTGTTAGGCGAGTTGGCTGGATTTGTTTGGCTATTGTGGAGGAAGCCTCACACTCACTGTAATGGACCTTCATTTCACTCTCCGACCACCACCATGTGGGTGGGTGGATTTGGTAAAAGAAACTTAGTAATTTATTAATGTGAATTAAAAGGAAGAAGAGATACAATCAGTGAAGTGAAGGTCTGGAAGATGGTGTAAGCTCAGAGTAAAGAGATGCATAAGGGTTTCCAGCAATCAGTACAAATACCAAGTATTTGAGATGCAGTTCGGAAGTGCGTCTTGTCGTTTGTGTCAGAAATACCAGTATTTGCTTTTCCTACCAACCCCCCTTCTTTTTATTTTTGTATATACATTACTGTTTGTGGTTACAAAATTGAATGGTTACAAATTGTTGAGCACTATCATGTATATATGCATCATCACAATTAAAAGTAAAAAAAAAATGGAATCTATAATGTATATCACAAATCAACCTGATACACATTTAATTCAAGCTTCTTCTCCACGAGCTCAGGGGGCAAAATGTGTGCCCAAGATAGAGGACTTCCCTCTGTACCACAACACTAAGGTAGTGGAACAAGAAATGTGTTGCTCTATGGCCTTTTCTTACCATTATTACTTTTAAGCTCAGTTTTGTTAGAAGCTTCAAGAACAACAACAACAACAGCTCAGTTTTGTTAGAAGCTTCAACGCAGTTCCTAAATGAGCCATGGGGTCTTGAGTACATCAGAACGAAACTATCCATGTGTCAGACTTCTGTATACAGCAAGTTTCTGTTTTCACTGAAAGAACGGGAAATTCCCCCTCTTTGCACTGTACTGAAAGGTAAGAATTGACCAATATAGAGACAAATGTAGCTGGCCATCCTTCCAGGAATGTCTTTAATCCTGTATAGGTATGGTTCTCGTTGTGCCAGGCAATGGGCCGTAGAGAGGCTACGCTTCATGATGCCATTGACTTCTTTCTCTCTTGAAATCTATCTTGCCGTGTGATATACAACAAGGCAAGATAGGTGACTTGAATCAGCGTTCTGGTGATTTCCAGACACCTGCCTAAACCCACTCGGACATGACTAGACAAAAGCTAATCATTCCAGAACAATTGAATTCACTGGAAGGTTCTGGAGGCCCAAACTGGTGCCCCATCAGGATTTTTACGGTTGCCCCGCCTGCACTCGACCTGCAGGTAATGGTGTTCGTACCCATGCGCCTCAGTGTCTTTGTCTCTGTATGTCACTTTGTCTCTGTTTCTATCTCTGCATGTCTCTTTATTTGTCTCTGTCTCTTTCTTATAACAAAATATAATTGCCTAATGTGTGGTCGCAAGTGAGAGAAGCTTAATGGTGTGAAATACTAAACAATTTGTTACCTCTTCACTCAATCAAAGGGGAGTGGCTTGAGAAAATTTTGAAACTTTGGTAGTATCGTCGGTTTTATGCAAATACGGGTAAATTATAGACAGCAGGAAATTTCTGTTCATTTTCCAGAGATCATTGAATAATAGTGTATATTACTATAAGAATAACTTGTTTTTTACTTTCTTTTGAAAGCATTTAGCTGTGTAGCTGTCGGGCAGTGCCAACAATTGTCATTGGGGTCTGAATGTGGCCCTGGCATGTTGATATATTTTGAATTCTGGCGACCCCAACCAGCCTATGTTCATTCTGAACCCCAGACTTCCGTCAATATGGGTGAAGCTAGTCCCATGTGAAGGTTCGAACTCTAGTCGGGTCATTGAGTTCTTAAGTGATATATATTATATAAGAGAGAATGTCTGTCTGTTTCACAGTCCAAAATTGGAGGCCAAACATTTGAGGAAAAGTTCACCCAAATTGGCATAGAGAATGGTCTTGGGCAAGGGATGAACATAGGGTGGTCGGAGTTGAAAGAATTCAAAATGGAACTGGGTGCTAGGGTCACATTCGGACACCCACGACTGTTTTTGGCACTGCCCGTCAGAATACCTAAAAAAAAATTTTCGAAACAAATTTGAAAATATAAAAAAAATCTATATATCTATAGAAATATACACCATTAATCACTGATCTCCAGAAAATTAACAGACATTACCTGCTATTTAAACTAAGGCCATAATCCAATAAAATATGTAAAAAATGTACTGAACTGTCACTTCACCCTCGGATGGAAGAATAAAGGCAAAACTGGCAAATTCGATAGGCGGAACTATTATATTCTGAGTGAATGGCATTAATTTATATAAAGACATGGTAACACTTGCTCTTATTATGCTGTCAGTAATATTGAAGGATAGGGATAGAGAAGCAAGGGTGTGAAGGGACGAGAGGAGAGGGGGTGGGGGAGGACGAAAGTGGGTGGCGAAGAGACAAGTATTTTCTGAGAGAAGAGGGATGGGGATGAGCACAATTGTAAGCATAATTGATTCTCATGCGTCCCTACCTTGATGAAATGGTTTGATGAAATATCTGTGCCCAATAAAGTCACCAGTGCTGTCGGGTGTTGGGATTAAAAGTCTCACGACTTCCCAGTACTTTTGTACCATCTGTAGCTAAGTGGTTATAGTACTAGGCATGCCAAGGAACATGGATGCCCTGGCTGACGAGGTTTGAATCCTTCAAGGGTCAAGAGTTTTCTGATATATGTATATGTTTGAGAAAATCATTATGGGGCAATGTAGTAATTTGAATCTGCGTTCTGGTGATTCCCAGACTCCTGCCTTAACCAACATGGCCATGATGGGACACAAGCTAACCAACCTGGAACACTACTGAATTTCCTGGAAGATTCCGGAGGTTTCGAACTGGAGCGCAACCGGGATTTTACAGTCGACCCCACCCACACTCTGGCCTACATATAATATTATTTACACTTCCATATCACAATGGCGTGATGTATCTATGAGAAAATCATTTGAGGCAATGGAGCGACTCAAACCGAAAAAGCATCAGAATACCAGTTCAAGTTGTTTACATTAAGTCTTGCTGCAATGAACATTGTTAACACTGTAAATAATCTCACCTCGATAATAAACATCATTATTCTATCCAGTTGAGGTTTGTAAGGCGCATCGTGAGGTATGGGCCACGCTCCCCTGCTTGAAAAAACACTCTCTCGTCCAATGTACAGTAAAGTACGGCCGTCCACCCTCGTGTAGTGGTCGGCGATTGCCTGCATCAGGTAAAGTCGGCCGTCCATGAAAGCCTGTCTAGACAGTGACATTATAGTAGTTCCTTATAAACGTATGAAAGAAATGAACAATGTCTGAATTGGATTGATCGTGGCTTTAAGGCAAAAACCTAATAGTGAAACTGGAAAGATATTCTAAGCTCCTCACTCTCTCTGGCTGCTTTCCTAAAGGTAGCTTTGAAAATTAATGTGCATTATTGATGAGATTATATCCATGCAGTTCAAAGACTTTATTTACATACAAATGTTCACAAAGAACCTCCCCCCCCCTCCCTTCCCTTGGCTCCACACATGTAAAAACAAACTGTAGGAGTAATCTATATATACCTATATACCTATACAAGAGAATGTCTGTCTGTCCGAGGTTGGAGGCCAGTCGGTTGCTGTTAGTTTCACCCAACATTTCATCATGAATTGTGATTGTATAGGAAATGTCATAAGGAAATCGGGGTCGACCTCCACGACTCTCCTAAAGTAGTATTGGCTGTTATTGAAATAACCAACAACTCTTATGAATCTCTTTGTGCCGGGTTGCGCCTGTTATGACCACACATACACCAGTATGATCATACTGTGGCTGGTGTTTGATGCGTTCAAACGTTATAGTGATATCCTGGCATTAGCCTAGTATCATAAATATTATCATATCTATATAATCTCCTTTTGACAATACTTTAGTATAAATTACGTATTGCCAATGTATGTTTATTATACTTATACATATTAAATAATAGTACCATCCATCTGTGGATATATGGGAAGTAGAGTAAATAGCTGAAGCCTAATGTCCTGTAGCTTGGAAAACATCATTACGTGCCTATAGTATAGAATGCTACGTATTACTGTATATGATATGCTATGTGTATTATGATGTAGAATGTATACATTTATATACTTAATGTATGACGAGTATGTATACTGTGATATATCCATTTCATTACTGTTCATTGCGTTGTCCTCTTGTCATGTTAGTAATTTATATTCTGGTATTGTGAGATTTATACCACAGAGGCAAGGTTTGGTACTTATGTTGGTATATGATACTTTACTTTATTTCATGTATACTTATGTAGTAACGGCAGACTGGTAACGTCTACACATTCTCTCTTAACCACCACCCGCCCTCCCCCTTCCCCTCCCCTCGGCGTACCGTCTCCAACCAGTGTTACCATTCTTGCAGATATGAATTCTCTGTTGACTTATTTATATACCATGGTATATATTCTCTTATGTATTGATTCATTGATATGTATACTCATGTATGGTTGTTTATTCAGAACTGTTATGATGTAGAAGTTATTGAGTGATAAATGTTTGATATGAGCTTGTGATATTTGAAAGAGGAGAGTCGGTTGGCTTGCCGAGTTGGAAATAGTTTGTTGAGTGACCCCACCCGGCCCTGGGCTGTCACTACTCTTAGAGCTTCCCAGACGGGTGGAAGTGTTGTCGCCCAGCTCTGTTTTTAGTGGCCTTTTTTGTGTTTATTGACTACTAGGATATTTAAGATTGTGCAGTAGTAGTTGCCATGGATCAGTTCTACCGATGTACATCATTTATGCCAGGTGGTAGGTGCTGTTATATGTATTTATTGATGGGGGTACCTGTGATGCCATTGTGCTATGTTATGATATTGATTCCTCGACCTCACTGATTAATGAGTGTGACCCCACTATTCTGTAATTGTATTATCAGCATAATAGGTGCTAGTGTAACATTGTGCCAGAATAGAGCCTGGTGTCAGCTAGTGCCGAGGGCATGAAGTTTTAAGGCCGGTTGATGATTTTGAACAACTTTAAGAAACTGGATAATGTGATAGAATATGAGTTATAGAGAACTGTAGTTTTCTTATTGTTTTACGGTGACCTATATTACATGCCCCAGTAAACTGTAATATTTTTGCTAGCCTTTGATTAAACCCTAGACAATTATTGATATTGGTAAGGCTATGGATTCCAGCGATGACTTAGAGCATGAGGTCATGATAGCGCCCTTTGTGGTTTAATGGCCATAGAGTGTCCATTCCGACATCACACTCACACAAGATCACCACAACATTCTTAAAACTTTGCATCAAAGTAATAATAGGAAAAATAACATTGAGGTTGTTTTGTGTTTTTTGGGAATGTATATTGAATGTTCTGAAAGACAGAGAATGAGAGGGATAAAATGATAATGAATGTGAGGGAGACAGAACAGGGGAGGAGAGAGAATGAGAGGAAGTGTGGGGGTTAGTGAACGTGGAGGGTTAGAAGAGGATGAAGGGAGGGAGAATGGCAGAATGAGTGGGAGGGAGGGAGAGAGAATGGAAGGTAGGGAGGGAGTATGATTGGGAGGAAGAATGGTAGTGAGGGGTGAAGTAGAGTGAATGGGAGGGAGTGTGAGAGAGAGACAGCACAGTCAGAAAAAAGACAGAAGCCCCGGGCACCACTGGGTACTCCATCTATATCTATAAACTAGGATGTCTGTCTCTCTGCCTGTATGTCCGAGGCTAAAGACAGAGGAGGCTAGAGGCCTCGGACCGCCTTCGGGCTAGCCTCATTAAATGGTCACCGGATTATATTAATACTGATTTCATGAGGAGTGTCGTAAGAGGGTTCGGGGCCAGCCCACTGCTTTCAGAACGTATGTTGAGATGACAGATTCGCATTCTGGGTACGATCTTGTGCACAGTGATGGACATAATATGTAGAAAAGACGGTTACAAGGATGTGTGGGAGAGATGCGGGAGGGTATGTGAAGAGGAAGAAGGGGAAGGTGGGTGGAGAGGGAGAGAGAAAGTGGGAAGAGGTGAAGAGAGGATGGAGAGAGAAAATGGGTAGAGGGTGAAGAGAGGACGGAGAGAGAAAGTGGGTAGGGGGTGAAGAGAGGAAGTGAGGTTGAGTAGAAAGGGTATTCATACCCTCTTGAGAATGAACTCCCAAGAGGGTGTTCTCCCTCCTAATTTAGAAGGAATTAGGGAGGATATAGATAGGGAGAAGGGCATGTTCAAAGGAGAGGCAAGGGTGTGTGTGGAAAGGGAAGTCGGGTGGGTGTGTAGAGAGGGATAGGGGGAAATGTAGATAGAGAAGTAAGGGGAATATGGAAAGGAAGACTTGAAGATTGTGTAAAGAGGAGGACGGAGATGATGTGTGGAAAGGAAGATGAGAAGAGTGCATGCTGGGGCACATGAGGAAGGGATGTGCTGGGGGAGAGGGAAGGTGTGAGCTGGGAAGAAACAGTGAAGGTATGTGAGGAGAAGAAATGGGTAAAAGTGCGTGAAGGGAAATATGGGGATTGTTGATGAGTGTGGGGTGGAGGTTTTGAGAGTGTGTGTAGATGGAGAGGGTGTGAAGATGTTTACAGTGATAGGTTTGTGTGTAATAGGGTGATCGAAGACGAGCCTAATTCCCCGTTTTAAGAAGGATCAGCTATCCGATTCACATCGACTCCGATGAAATTTGAAATAGAGGTTTAGTTTCCAGCAAGTTTTTCTATATCTTTTAAGCTGTCTGCAATATATATATATATAAATAATGTGCTTGCTGCAACAGAATAATGGATTCAGAATAAAGGCTGCAACAGAATAAAGTCATATAAAAACGAATCTCTTATATATGGCTACCATCTCACATAAATATAACCCACCATAATGACACAGACATTGCAGCCAAATTAGTGTGTAACAAGGATGAAGTTGAATTAGAAATAGGCATCCCATCCTCTGCTGTCAAGCCGATATTGTTCCAAACAGTCAAGTCTAATAGGAGGGAAATTACTGTCACCAAAAGGTCTGAAAGCCTCAGTATGAAAGTTATGATTTGTTTAGATCCGAAACCTTTATATATGGGCAACACAAATCGTCCACCAGACAATGTCATATAGTAGTTGCCAGAATCGGGTTGGGCTACCATTACCTGTGGCAGATGGATACAAGTGACGAATCTCTCAATCCTGAGCACTCCAGGTGCAAACTCTGTTAGAAGGAAATCGGTCGAAATCTCACACACACTACATCACTGAATTCCCAGTTATTAGACACTTCAGGCATTCCGGCATGCAGTACCTGGAACTTTGCACTCTTTTTATTAATTCTCATGTTCTTGAGGATATCCTTATATTGAACCCATAATTTGCCATTGCAGATTACTGATCATATGACTCTGTATGACTTACCATCCTACAAGAAGGGGATATTTTGTATCACTGCCATCTTATTCACTCCTGTATTCTTGAAGATATACTCATAATGCATCTACAGTTTGCCAGTGCAGATTATTGATCACATGGCCCTGTATGACTAACCATGGTTTGTGATGGGGATTTTTAGCATCACGTAGCTAATTCTTCACATACTTTGTATTCCCATTTATGTAGTTCAGGTTAGCTGCACAAATTCAGATGTACCTAAATGTGTTAACAAAGAAAATATCTGCGATGTCCCAACTTACACAGAATGTAATCACAAAGCACTTTAACTGCATTGTTACAATATTGCATAAATGTAACAACTGTAAACAAGTAATTGTTTTCTGGGAATGCATGTTGTGACGGCAACCCCTCCTCTTAAAAATAACGTCACTTTTGGCTCGTATGCGCACTATGGCCAAATTTGGACGTAATTTGAAATGTAATCGGCTCACGCAAGTGATGTACTGTCCCGTTTTCTGTTTGAGTCCACCGGCTTATTCGGTTAGGTTAGGAGAGGAAACTTAAAATTAACGTTTTTCATGACGTTTTGAAACTTTAGGAGAAGTTCCTGACCTCCTAACCTACCAGAGGACCCTTAACTTACAGTTTTGGAAAAAAATCCCCAATTTATTTAAAAAAGAATTTATTTCAAATTACGTCCATTTTTGGCCATACGGGTAATCTGCCAAATTCTGACGTAATTTGTAAGAGGACAGGTTGGATGCTTGAGGCTAGCCTGTATGAAACTTTCACAGTGATTTGTGATTGTATAGTTAGTATAATGGGGTTGACAAAGTTGACCCAATGTGCCCTTTCTTAGGAAGGATTAGCTCCTATTCCGAATCCAAGCGA